TCAATGGGCAAAATAAACGAAGAAAGATTGTGTACACGCTACGGTGGTTCAGTTTTTCCTTTTTTGTTTTTTTCTTTTTCAGACGACCAGAAGAGAAAACACGATTTTTTAGAGCGTAGTTTTTCGTTACTTTTCGTTAAAAAATTGCCGCTTTTGTTATTCTCCACATGCTACACGTGCCTTTCATTCAACAAGCTTATCAAGCTTTTAGTTTGTTTGCAGCTTTCAAATCTGCTGAAATTGTTTCGGATTGGATGAGAGTCAAAGTAATGCGGCAAGTAAATAAATATAGAGAAATCGAAGAATGACGGCTACCACAACCGTCTTGAGGCTTTGTTTTAACCTCGCACTCAAATGATCATATTTTTTTTATTTATAGAAAATGGCAATTTCAACAAATATTTTACTTACAAAATAATTTGAAGTAGAACTTAAGTAAATAATAGCAATATATTTTTTGAAAAATTGTGGCTAATGCTGAACAAGTGAAAATTAATCATTCCTATACAAAGTGAATATAATGTTTTATAAATAAAGGTGGAAAAGCTGAAATATTTGCCAGGACAAATGAGAAATATTAATTTCATTATCATTTAAGTATAAATGATAATTCATCAAGAAATTCCTATGAAAAGAAATCCCTCATAATGTAATAAAACTTGCACATAGCAAGGTAGTAAAAGCATTAAAAACATATGTACGTCTATTGTAAAAATTTTCATCATAATAATTCTGCGAATATATACGCAGCACATAAATGTAATCCTAATCGCAATCTCAGAATTTATGCGCGCTCACATGCATCCTTAAACATCCTAGTAAGTATAGCCGTCGTTAAGCGATTGTACACAGCAGAAACGGAAAAGAGACATTCCACAGCATTCCTGCAACCTGAGAGAACAGCACCGGAAGGCCAAAGCGATTCGTTTGTGGATAAAGGACCCGTTAGATATATTTAAGTGGGAATAACCAAGCGAACGGTAAAGCGATAAGGAAAAGGAAGAGAGAGAGAGAGAGAGAGACAGACAGACAGAAAGAGAAAAGTCGTCAATTTATTATCTGGCGTCGATAGAAACGGAAATTCTGCCAGCCTTTTTCTTTTTCTTTTTCTTTTTGCCCTTAAATTTAGTAATGTTACTTTGAATGATACGTTAGTTATGTTTTTGGATAAAAATAACTAACAGGGCTTCGGAAGCTTCGGGTATTCTTTTTGTTTTACCAAATTGATAACAACCTCACGCTCTCGACACTTGTTATTAATAGTAAGCTTTGATTTCATTCTCATGATCAATTAAAATTTTATTCCGAACGATTCATATGGAAAATTGCATCGAATAACGCACTTTTAAAATAAACATAAAAGAAAATCCGATAAAATGAATATATACTGCCGGAAGCGTCGTCGTAAAATATTGTTACTTCAATGAACGCTTGTATCGGTAAATAAAAGATATTTCAGATGAAAAATCGAAATGTTTCCAAATATTCTGCATTATTCACCAGCGGAAGATAGCAACTAACGATATCGGTTGATAAATATTGTCAAATACTTGGCAAAGCACTTCCCTTATCTTAGTTGAGCATGCTTCGAAACTTTGAACAGATCAATCATAGTCATACTTGCAATAATTGCCGCGTCACTTTAAGAGTACGTATTATTCATGCCGACGTTTCATCTAATTTGGCTTATCCTATTCCCGAGCACATACGCAGGGTTCCCTTTTTGCGATAAATCCGTGCCAGGAAATGTATCAAGTGTGAGCTAATAGCTGGATAATTCGAATGGAGCACTCGTAAGCCAGTCGATCAATCTCTCGTCATAAGTCAGCGCGAGCAAGCAAGTGTGTATATTCAAATGGGCATTTCATGTGAATTTAGCGAACATGTCGAAATTCGCTGTTTCGCCTAGCTTTCAGATCGAGAGAACAATTTCGTTCGCTTGCATCTTTCTCTCGTGCCCTTCTGCGCCATTTCCATGCCAATTTCGTCCGTAGTAATTTTTAGCTGGGCGTTACTTCCGTGACAAATCTTTCATCGTTATTTGCCACTCAAAAATCTGCAAGAATCTGGGCTCGGAGAGAGCTGCTGCTATTGCTGCCGCGCTGCCATCCATCTCTTTTTCTTACGCTTGTCTACCCTTTCTCGCCCCGACTATACGAAGTCCAGGAGGCGCGCGCCTCTTTCATATTACAGTTACGTCATTTAACTATACGCACGTCTGGACTTTCCTCTCTGTTTCTTCTGCGTTTCATTTATATTCTTCGCGGCCGTCAGCTATGCTTTCTCGTTTTCACAGTCCATCTTTCGCCTCAGATTTTTCATTTCCCACACGGCTACAAAGCGCCGTCGAGCAATATCCTGTTGCTGCAAAACTATGTACTGGCGATCACCTTGACAGTACTGCGACGGCAAAGCCTGTAGTTCTCTCGAGTACTTTACATCCATCGAGCGAGCCCAGCCAGCCGATGAACAATAATCCGGCCGATAATACGTGACCAACATGAACGTTTCGACGCGATTTCATTCCTACATCAGAGTTTCGATTTTCGTAAATAGTATGCAGATCGCTACTATGAAACGAGCATAGAAGGACGGCGTTTCCAATCAAATTGTTTTTATTAGGAGAAAAATATTCACGGCGCGCGAGGAGAGGCTCCGCGAAACGATGAATCCGAGCGAAGAAAACAAGGAAATCAGCAGCAAGACGGAACTATTCGAGCGATGACAATGGGATACGACTGGCTGGCACGCGCGCTCACTTGTGCCATCGCCAAGGATGTATTCAGAAATTCCATTCACGTGCTTCAATATCTTGCGGATTTCTCTATCTTCCCCTTACACTCACGCTCTCTCTCTCTCTCTCTCTCTCTCTCTCTCTCTCTCTCTCTCTCTCTTCTAGTTTTCCATCATTCTACTCGCGTTGTCTTGCCTCGTTTCCTCCCCGTCTTCTCTGTTTCCTTCGTGGCTCAGCAACTTTTCTACTTCGTCAGTAACTATAAACAATTTACTCGAAATCAACCATATAAGTAATCCCCTCTATATATGAGGTGAAAGCCATTTTAACCAATATTCCCGTGCATTTTATTTGATATTGTTGTTTCGATTGAATCTGATAACATTGACTTAATGTAATCGGTGTGGTAGTCTCACCAAACAGTAATTTACGTGCTCTCTCCAGACACACAGTTGATTGATCCAAAATACTTTTATGGCTTTTTCTTTGAATTTTCTTTTCTGGATTAATTTGTGAGTATTTCTACCATATAACGGAGGATGAACGCATGAATATATTTATAATGATACATTTACTTGACCTGTATGTATTTGAAGCATGTACTTTGGACATATTTGCATGAAATGACACAACGTGATTGTAATGAGCAATAATTTATTTTGGATTACCTTCGTTTTTCATAGAGCTCACCCTTCTTCGTCTCTAATAAAGTCAGTAAAAAAAATCCTTTTAAGCTAAAAAGTAAACCGAACTCAGCCGTATATATTCGAGTCGAAGCCTTGCATACCGATTGCACTATCGGATTTTTTGAACATTTAAATATTCTATCGAATCATCCTACGTGTTTTTTCATTGTTAACTTTGAGTTTACGATCTTAATTAAAGAACAAAACGAATGCCTATTCAGACGGAACAGGATTAACAAATTCTCATGTACATGACAGTGTCTACTCGTCATAGCCATACGGATGAGTTCGACAAGTAGACATGGGATAAAACGCTCGCGCATTAGTTGCTTAAATTTACCTTATGTTAGCCAATTGTCGTTAAACGTATGTAAATAATTTTCCTATCAGACTTGCTCTCAATTTTACGCATTTTTAACAGTCAAGTAATGAATCAACTTGAAGCTTTTTTGAATGCTATTAAGTCTGTAAAATCGATTAAAATTTAAAATAAACGAATTTTCCCGTAAACGTATATTCGATGATACAAGGTATCTCATCGTGATTATCGGCAATAAAATTCAACGGCTGCAATTTTTTCTGTTCCAATTTCAACCCCAATTTTCAGATTTTCGCTTAAATTAAGGTGAAAAACTAGTGAATATAAACGAAGAGACAATTGAATAGATTCGGACTACGTTTACCCAAATGTACAACGTAGCAATATTCAAGACAAGATTATTGGATTTCGATTGAATGTTGAATGATTCATGAACTTGTTTAGTTGATAGTTCTGATGGATAAAACTAAATGAACCGAGTCATTGAACTTTTGCCAATATATCTTATTAGAGCAGCGAATAGAAATTTAATTTGACTTTTAGCATTTCTTCGTCTTTCTATCTCCACCTTATCCACTCGATCGATGCTGCGGTGAGCTTATCATTCGGGAGATTTATCTCTATATCACTTTGGAAATACCGTTTCGGAATGAATAACGATGCCTCGAAATGAATTCAGGACACGAAAAATATAAAGGCAAGTGAGCGCGCGATATCGATAAGATTATTAGGTTCTGAAAAGAAATGGCAAAAGAAAAAAGTACAAGGGAGAGAGATAGAGAGAGAGAGAGAGAGAGAGAGAGAGAGAGAGAGAGAGAGAGATGTCGAGTAAGTTCATTCTTTTCTTTCATTTATTTTATTACTATAAAATATTATATTACTCATCAGTCGTGTATTGGGGATTAATTTAGGGCTCGTCCAGTCACGAGCGCAATCATCTTACAAGTACAATGAACATTATCGCGTACTCTAACTACTGGCTATTGCACGTACATTCACAAAGCCATCGCTCTCAATACGACAGATCGCGAAAATGACAGACAGCAGAATTTGGAGGGAAATCGAGACCATAGAGAAAGAGCGCTCCGCAACGGAGCAATCCAAAGTTTCTTGTCGGCAGCGGGCAATTAATGGTCGCGCATCGGCAGCGCGAAGGGAAGAAGACATTGATATCGCGCGCAATCGTAGGTTGGAAATGAGAAAGCAAACGCGTAGCCGGCATGAGCGAGCGCTCGGTCGATGAAGCCCCACCGCCTAACGATCATGCCTGGGGCAAATTGGTGGCGAGCACGCGAAAGCCGTCTTTGTCGGCGATGTAGTGCACCTGCTGCAGCAGCCCGTTGGCGTCGATGTAGCTGTAGGCGCCGCGGGTCGTGCCGTCTAGCGAGCGCGACTCCGTCTTGGCCGAGGTGTCGCCGGTGTAGCTATACTCGTACTGGCCGAGCGAGTCCTGGCTGTGCCTCATGGAGCTGTGCACCAGAGGCATCGGCACCGCGAACATCGCCGGCACGATCAGGTGGTGCCGATGCAGGCTGGCGCTCGCGGTACTGAAGCGAGCGGCCATCGCCACTGGCTCGGCTTTGCCAGCCTCCACGACGATGGCGTTGGCGTTGCCGGGCCGCGGCGCGGGCAAGTCCCGAGCCTCCTCGGCCGACAGCAGGAACCTCGGCTCGCCAGCCGCCTGGCGCGCTCGCTGACGGGACTGCTGCTGCTGCTGCTGCTGCTCCGGCGGCTGCGCTTGTTGCTGCTGTCGACGGTGCTGGCTTGGTCGGTACTGGCGCGCCCGGTACTGCTGCATCGCGGCCGCGTACTCGTCGTCCTGCTCGTCGTCGAGCTGCTGGGGTTCCTGCCACGTCGCAGGCTCGGCTTTGCGCGACTGCTCGAGGTGGCGCTTTTTCGCCACTGCTACCTCGGCTGTGTCTGACAGCGGGCTCAGCGAGTTACCATTCGGTAGGTTACTTGCCTGCACGCGAAACCCGTTCTCGGCGTCGGCTGTGTAAGACACTGTCTGCATTAGGCCATTTGCGTCGATGTACGAGTAACCTGCAATTACAACGTTCGCCTTTCAGTGCATCTTTCTGATTAACTTTACCATTAATTTTATTAACAAGTCATAAATTATTTATTTTTTCAAAAGAATGTAATCCGAATAATTTAAGATCATCAATAACTGTATAATTATAAGATGATAGAGGATGAAAATTATGAAAATTCAATAATGAGCTCTACTCCATAAAATATTACATAAATGATATACTGAGATCGAGAATGTAAACCCGTTATTAAATACCTGCCATAAATTAATAGGGCAATAATAATTTTTATGAATAATATTCAATATATAATATAGATGACCTTGTCAAAATCGCTTAAGATGAAAATATTAATGGAGATAAGAGAGCAAAGTAGGTATGAGAATCGATTAATCGTCATAATATTAGGTAGCGAATATATTCGTAAAAGTATGTAAGTATATGAGGTAGTGCAGTATGTGCTGACTATAGCGCACCAATTACGGCAGCTTACTCGTATACCTACTACAGCAGCAGTAGGCGAGTGGTGCCGGAGCATCAGTATGGACGTTAATTGACTACGTTGTTGCATTGCCCAATTATGTCAGTCAGGCTCTATTCGCCACTCGATCCTCTTGTTTATGGCTTATTTCTTATAACATTTCGAAAAATCGTCTCGAATAATGTTCAGTTGCACAAATCAAAATGAAGGAAAGAAAGAATGCCGAAAACAGCCAGCAGCGAGGATTTCATCTCGAAATTCCACGGCTGGTACATGTGCTACGAGCGCATCCCCCTCGTCGACACACTTTACGTATAATCACTTTCTGCTCGTTCTCATTCAAGTGCAGCCTATCTACCTACGTGCCTGCAGTCGCATTAGCTTTTAGCCAGCAGAGCTTTCGGAAGCTGTGCCGCACGTGAGGCGTACACTGTAATATCCGCCGCTCATATCCACCAGCCGCGGAGGATTATCCGCGAGCGATGTTTTCGAGGCCGTAGTGCCAATTAAGTCATCGTCGTGTTCTTGACTCGCTCTTCAACTTGAATTGCGAGCAACCGTCGTCACGCACAGTTTCAGTCTTGATCAGCGCTAACTGTCGCGAGCGAATTGCCGCCGCAGCGGCTGTACGAATCTCGCGCCGTGGATTTATTCGTTAATACAGACTCGAGCCGTCTCGCAGCACTAATCTCGAACGCGTTTTAATAATCGGCCATCGGCGTGAAATCACGAGGAAAATACAAATTCGAGCGTGCGTATAACGCGTCTTATAAAAATGTGCTCGTGCATTGTACCTACCGCCACGAGTGACACCGTTGAAACTGGATTCGGATTTGGCGTGATGCGGCCCGGTGTAACCGTACTGATAAGCGCCGCTCTGAGAGTCTTGCGTGTGATACTGAGCTGCCTTAGGTTTGCGCCCCTGTGACCATACTTCCGCGCTCGCAGCTACGCAGCCGGCCAGGAAACACAGGAGCCCGGCAAAGACTAGTCCCGTGGGTCGTCTTGCTGATGCTGCTACCTGCAATATTGCACAAAAGCACCCCGAACAAACGAAATAATTGATACGTATGTGCGAATCGTTGTTCTACGTTTTTTCTTTCGTTCTCGCTCCTGACAGTTTACTTCGGTAGATATCGGTTTACTGGTAAGACCACTCGAGACGTTTGGGAATTAGTTTTCTTATAATATGTCGCTGTGAGTTGTCAGTAAAATATTTTTTAACATTTTTTTTTCGTCGAACAGTAGAAAAGTAAAAAATAATTTTGTTTTGCTTCGTCTTAATGCTCACACTCTGCCAGGTGTGCAGTGTCAACTTTAAAATGCTGCCGAGAGATGTGCGTCGCTGACGAACGAAAGAACTCGCCCCCATATCAGTATCACACTCCTTGCTCCATGTACTTAAATAAGCTTTGTACAATATTAACTTATCATCCATGATGCTTGAGAGAGCGAAATGACTGTCAATTATTTTTCAAAATGAGAAAAGCATATAAACCGCGCAAAATCCCAAAGAGAATAATATAGGTGTGCACCTAGAACTACTTGCTTTTCATTTTCATATCTAATCAGATAGAGGAAATTTAAATGTCAAATGCATACTTCGCTCTACGGTCATATCGAGCAAGTGCCGATCGCACGTATACCACCCCCGAGACGCTCTCTGCCGCGCCAACTACCTACAGCTGCAAATCGCGCCTTTTACGATGAAATTTCATGATGTCGTATGCATCTGTAAATTGCCGCATTCAACTGCAAATTACTAATTTTTTATTAATTTAGTTAACAGAAAGTGCCGAGCTAATGTATTTCAAATCAACGAAAAGGTCACTCCGACAGATTGCATTTTCCTTTCGTAATATCTGACACGAATATTCCATTGTAATAACCTACTTATTCCTTTCCTTTCCATTTAACAAGCGTTACAACGAGATGCATTGATTGTTTGAAGAAGTACGATTTTTTCATGATCTTCAGAGTTAAAAACGTAAATGACTTTTTTAACAAAGCCATTGTACTGTAATTGAAATAGCCCTATGACTTAAAAATCACAGATGATCTTTATTACTTCTCGTAATATAAAAGAACGACAAACTTGGGCCCGCTTGACCGATGGTTCAACTCATTAAGATCATCGTGCACGCTTGGGCAATCTTGATGCAGCGCGTATGTCAGGTTACCGGCATAAGCTTGCAAGCGTGTACGAAAAATGAAAGTGAAACTTACGTTACTCATGATCCCTGGATCGGAAGGCGATAAGGAGAAAAAGGGGAAGAAACGAAGGCAGGTCTGGCTGCGTTCCGTTGCACTTGTCAATCACAAACCGAAAAGTGGTAACTCCCGAGTATATGTGGAAGGAGCACGCGTGGTCGATGCGTAAGCTCGAGCGAGCGCGCTTGCAGAAGCGTAAAGTCGTCTTAGGCAGCGCTTATATACTATGGGATGCGCTTAATGGCTCGCTCCCCCACCACCGTCGCTTGCGGGCCCTTCGGCCGCGGCACGCACGCGCGACCAGGCCAGCACGGGGCCCTACGACGCGCCGAGCCCGGCCGCAAATCAGCCAGTGCTCGATTTCCACGCCGATAAATCAAGCTTTATTGGCCCAGCGCAGCCCCCACGAGCACTGTCTTCGTAGGCGCTCTTGGACCGTCCCGAGGAACGCTCCGATTAGCCTGCCGGCGAGGCCGACTTTCGTCCTCGGTCGAGCTTTCGCAAAAATCTGCTCGGAGGCCTTTTCGGACTGACTACGCCGAGACAGGTCGCGCGCGGAAAATCGCTGCCACTCGTCTCTTCCCGAAAGGGAGTTTCGTCAGCTCGCGTCGAAGGATAATTTGCTTTGTCACGGAGACAGCCAAAGGGGAACGAGCGCCGACGTTGACGAGTATCGCTATCCGTGCCGATGCAAATGTACGTACGTTGCGCGACAACAACGACGACGACGCTGCCACATGGCCGTACGCGAAGTTGCTCGCTCGGCTTTTAGGCTAATTTCGCTCCGGTTTCGTATGAAGAAGCAACAAACGTCTAGGCGTTTCCCAAGGATGCACCAAATTAAATTGCTCGCTCCACGCTCCACCTAGGCTGGCTATGCACTTCGCTCCGGAACTTTCGAGCGTCACAGTTTCGCGAAAGATGCGTCTTTTCTTTCTCTCTTGCTCCAGTCGTCCCCTTCAGCTTGTCGTCTTTACCCGATAATAGCGCCAGCTCACACGCCACTTACGTGACTCACCCCACTGTGTTTCAATCACGTTGCAACGAGGCTCCGTTAATATCGAACCGTTGCCCAACACCGATCAATTTCGCACGCGGCGTTTAACGAACGAGAGACAAACGGGCAGACGCAGTGCGCTGCAAATCGATCGTAATCGCGGCTCTCCGAGGTTATTAGTGGTCTCCGGCAAATCAACCGAGAAGTGAATTCCGCGGCGAACAATAGCATGTGGGATGAGCACGGTGCGATACGCTGGACACGCGCGACATTGCCGAGGCCACTTTTCTCGGCGTGCGACGGACAAACGAGGCAAATTGAGAGGCGATCGGGTGTCGCAAGCTTGACTATTAATCCACTGGTCGTTGGGCTGCGCTAGGCTCTCGTTTTCCTTTTAATCGAGCTGCTTGCGCGCCCCGACGACTGTGCGTCGTCGCGCAAAGGACAGCAATGCACTGCGCGCGATCCGTCTCCGCGCCATCAAAAGTAGACGAAGGAAAATCCGAGAGACGCATCGCTACGAATTCCGCGGGCGTATTACGGCATAAAAATGCTCTTCCCGAGTGCCCAACCGTATATACGCAAAGTACTGCGCGCTGCTCGTCGCCGCTCGACCGATCGATCTGGCAAGTCGATTGCTTTGTATGCAGACGAATTCGCTGGTCGCTCGCATTTTACCTCGCGTCGTTCAATTTGTTGGGACGCACGCGCATTCCAAGAAAGAGCCAGCCTAGAAGGGCTACCACCGCTTATAACGAGAAGAAAAAAACGTCGCGCGCTCGACAGATAGGAAGAGAGGGAGAGCCCAAGTGAATTGAATAACTTGCCGAGCATGACTTACGCGTTGCTTCGATGATTAATCGGCTTTCGTTCGCTTGCTCTATTGCACCCTTCCTCCCCGTTCTATTCGTTATTTCTATTCGCGCACGCTTGTACATCTGCCAACCTCGACCAGTCCTCTCCTATTCTTTCTTTTTATCTTCGTTATCCTGCGTCCGCTAGTCATTAATCGACGTTAAGCGTTCCTATTAATATCGCTGCTCTTGTTTACTTTCCGCGTAGATTGATAATCTTACGTTTTTTTGGCGCGCGAATATTTCATAACGACTCGTGAATTTGGCATGCGCGAGATGCGCGCGGTCGCGCAAGTGTACAGCAACTATTGCCCGTCTGACTAATGATATCTTTGTTATTAATGAAAATGTTTACGTCCGGAGAAAAAATTGATGGCAACGCCTGAAAAAAAAGGAAAAAAAGCAGTTATTAATGAATTTATTCACTTGACCAACAAACGCGTTCAAGTTTTTCGGTCAACAAACGTGATAAATGTTGGCGAGCGCCGAAACAAGAAAAGATCTGATGCATTGCAAGTCGGATGCTCGGATGAATGCGCTATACGAACAGGAAGCGCGCAGTCTTGTCTCTCTAAGCGCAACAAGAAAATATTGCTTTTATTTCGAGTCGATATGGAAATGAGTTCGGTAGAATGAGACACAGGCGTATACCAACGCCAAGACCAGGCTACACTGGCTTTGCGCGCGAGTATACACTTCCTGTAATTGATTGCTATCCGTTTCGCCTTCGAGTCAACCACTACTACTCGTGCATCTAAGTAAAATGAAATTATTGGTGAATGGGGCTGCTCGAGGCGAGCAAAATAAAACGTAGTCGGGAGCTGCGGGAATTCGGTCCGGAGAAGCAGAGCGAGCATGGAGAAATATCAAAGAGGCGAGAAGGTGGAAATCGATGAGCGAGCTACATTCTAAGCTTTTACCGAATTGAATGGCGCTGCGCGCTGTTACAATGCAGCTCGCGGCGAGGAGAGAGCGTGGCACGAGCGCGTACCGTCCTCTGCGCCTCGGGTTGCCGCTGCGTGCTCCCGATAAGAGGCGAGAGGACGAACAGCGACAGACTGGAATGCCAAAAGCAGAGAGAAATAGCCGATTTCCAGATCCGCGCGCTGCGCGAAGATCTGTCTTCCGCTACCCTGATAAAGCTGCCCGATACGCGCCAAGACCGAGTGGACGTCTTCAATATCCTCTCTCTCTCTCTCTCTCTCTCTCTCTCTCTCTCTCTTTCTCTCTCTTCTTGTGTGTCCGGCTGCGGATACCTATTGCTTTTTCTCCTTATCCTCGAGGCTCCCTGATCCGATGAGCTCGTTTATTGAATATCGGCACAGCTTTGCTTCTCGCAAAGTACTATTTCCTATGCTCGCCTTTGTGTTCGCGACGTCATCGGTGCGATTGCTTTTCAGCCGCGTAAACGTGCTTTTTCCATCGATCTACAGCACGACCCCGGGCTAAATATTCTTGACCGTGGTTTCGAGCTTCGATCAAAATGGAATTTCATTAATTACAGCGCGGTGCCGTCTCTCTGCCGCGCAATCATCTTGCTGTCAACGGCCAAGTGAACGGTACATTTCACTCGACTCTAATGAACAATGCGATCCTCAAAGCGAAACATTCGAGTGGGAGAAATCAAAGGACAAAGGCGCCCAACGGTGCATAAGGGAAAAAACGCGCGAGCTCGACAAGAAGGAGTATATGAAAATTAAATAGGGTATAAAGAGTCAGCGGTCGTGCCGGTCAAGAGAGTGCAGTTGCGCGGGGAGAATCGCCGGCGATAATCTCGGGCCAGTTAATCTCAGGTCGCGATAACGGATGAAGCTCGTTCCTCTAGCGCGGCTCAAAGAGCTCTGCGGGAAACAACCTGTTGATGTAAGTCCGGCGGCTGGCCGTGGGTTACCGGCCAAAAAAAGGAAAAAAAATAAATAAATAAATAAATAAATAAAACAAACGGCGGTCGAGCGGCCGAGCGAATCACAGCAGCGCGGAGGCTGCTTTGGGCGCAACAATCGGCTGCCGTGGTTTTAATAAAGGCCACTGTGCCAGCCAACAGATAAGAGGCTGCGGCTGCTGCTGGCTTGGATTTGCGATAATGGCGGAGTTGGAACATAGGAAGCCGCGGTTCCTTCGCTCCTCCGTCCCACACTTCTATACGGCTCCTCGCATGGCCGAGCGAACGGCTTTACGAGGCTGTTACTTACGCTTTACCCCCTCGGCGCGCCTCATATTTTATCGCCTTCTTTTCTCTTATACGCCTTCGTACGCTCTTATCCCCCCCCCCCTCTCCCTCGTCCCGCTGATCGATGTATTCCCTCCTGTGTAGACATCGTGCTCACCTTTATTCTACTCATTATCATACAACCAAAATATTGACTTCCAGCTTTATGAAGATTACAGCATTTCTATCGGAGGCGCACGTGCCTTCGCTGGGATATTATGCTTGCGATAAGTCGTGAATGCGCGTACTCATTTGCGAAAATGACAATACCTGGCAATGACAACAAAATTTTCATTACATCATTGCGTGGATATTAATGCGATGAGTATTGAAAATTGAGCTTGTCATTTTGGTTTGGCACAAAGCAATGAAATTTTTTTAAATCTATCATGACAGTTCATCGAATATCGTTTGTTTATCGTATCGTCGCAACGAATCGAGACTATTTGTTTGCACGTAATTATACGAACTACCGTTGTTTTCGCGTAAGATATCAACCAGATTAACGTATTCAGCTTGTTATTTTACGAAGAATAGTTTCTCATTGTCAGTGCATAATCAGAACTGGGATTGTAAAACGTAACGAGTTTACAAGTCATACACAATCCGTCTTATTTTTTCCGTTCTCGATGAAAAATGTCTTTGACGCGCGCAATTAATAGCGTGGCTTGAAAAACTTGCGAAAATATGTCCTCGGCTTCGGTCCTATCAAAGATGCATGACCGCGGGTGGAGAGTTCCGTAGGTGGCAATAATCCGTCCGGCCTGTCACGAGAAGACACGACAAGTCAATTAAACGGAAGAAATAGCGAATCGCATGAAACATTGGCACGCCTACGCCCGCCAAAGCCTTGTTCTCGAAGCCACAGTTAAGTAAGTACGTGTAGCTGCGTCCTACGCGATTCCTCGTGGCGCGCATATTGCGCGGATGGTGGTCAAAACGCGTATAAGACGAGCTCGGCATCTAATCCTCGCCAGAGTACTTACGCTGCGTTTTCATCTGTCGGCGTTGGCCATACGTCAGCCGCCAGCCGAGAAAGAGGGAATACGCACCCACGCAAAGCAGCTGGCATAACTCAGCGAAACAGGATCGCGCGCGCCGCCGCCGCCGCCGCAGAAAAACAAAAGCACGCGAGAGTGCTTTATGCGGTCGGGGAAGAGGCGTCGACAGCCCAGCCAATACGCGTACCCCCTTCTGTAAATCTAATTGAGGCTCCGCGCGCTCCTTATCTCTCTCCAGCCGCGTCAGCTGATAGCCGAACCAAGTCGTAAATTCCTCCGCGCTCGCTCTTCTTCACCGGGGCGCGCGCGCATCTCGCTGATTTACACCCGACGCACCGGATCCGCGTGATTTTACGGATTCGGCTTATACGAGACTGGTATGTAGCCGTGCGCTCTCCCTTTACGACCAATTTAACGCGCGCTCCGCGATAGATGACTTCCCATGCCACGCGTCTCTTCTAACTTTTATTATCACCTGCGAACTACATTTTCATTCATGCTTACACGCGTTCAGCGGATTTCTGATTCAAGTCCGCCTCGACCGTAGATCAAATCTTTTGTCGTGCAATTCATCTGGGCTCCAGTGCTACAATACGTGCACAATCATGCGCGTACACATGTGTGTCACCCAGAAGACGATGATGTAACGAGACACGGGAGCTTTTTCCCCGGGCAGACACCAATGAAATATCAATGGCCTGACGACTACTGCACGCGTAGTGCACTCCGAAAAAGGCCGAGCAATTAGCAAGCAATGTAGTCGCGATCGAACAAGGGTGTATGCACAGCCCTGAAAATCACATCCATTAATAGGTCGTTCGGTTCGCTGTTGGCGCGAATGGACGAGCGGGAAGAAATTGCTCGCTATTATTGCCAATACAAGCTTGGCTCTGCGTATCACCGTCTAGCTTGTTTCAATAGCTTATTTGCGCAGCGAAGCACGAATAAAATATGCAAGTTCCCGCTCACACATGAAAGTGTTTACGGAGCGGAATCATTAATTGACCCAATTACGCTGCCGCTGGCCTAATTGACACACACTCACCGTAGCCGCACATTGCGAATAATAAAAGGTCTGTTTCGTCGCGCTTGGCGGGTGGTGAGCGCGAAATAAATCGAGTACCGATTATCCGCGCAAGATATCGAATAACAGAGAGAGAGAGAGAGAGAGAGAGAGAGAGAGAGAGAGAGAGAGAGAGAGAGAGTTAAAAGTAAGCGCGAATCTCATTGTAATCAAGCGGAATGCACAACAGGGTGCTAGATCGGCTGGCGATCATTAGGGGCAGCAGCCTCTCGTTCGGAAGATGCACTATCGCGGCGACACGCTGAAGCTCACGTTGCCGCACGGCGAGAGGTCAAGCCGCGATTATACTCTCGCTCGCGCGCGGCATGCCTTTTGCCTCGTCACCCTTTTTCTCAGTCTCCTTAGCCAGGCGCTATCTCGCTGCACACCAGCTCGAGAATGGATTGTCGCGCACGGGCTACGCTCGGCAACATTTTTTTTATACGCTGAGCTCTCCCATTTGTATGCGCCTGCAAAAAAATAAAATAAACTCGGCGTAGATAACGATTAAATAATGTCGCGTACCTTGCGACTTTTCCACCTGTTATTTTTCTTTCGCTGGACATTATTTTCAGAGAGCTCTTGCATATTTCATGGACTTCTTTTGTTTTTGAACATATATTATCGTTGGTGGCTGAGAGTATTTAGAATGCACATAGGATTCTATACGAGATAAGGATGAAATAACGCGACGAACGATCGATCGAGGAAAAACTATTTTCAAGTTCTATCCGTTCTCTGTCGACTAATTAACAACGTACGACCCTCTGTTCCATTTCTCCGAGCAGTATAAATTAAAGAGTACGCGCTGAAAGCAATGAAATTTAGAAAACGGGCGAAAAGATATAGTGGCGCGTTTTATACGAGCTACGCTTACGCGTCGTCATAAAAACCTTGACGTAATCATAACGCTGCGGCAATATGTCGTATGGGAAAATTAAAAGCATACCGCGGCGGGTGCGTGAAGTCGTAACGTCCAGATTTACTATGCAAACGTACGATTGGATTCCACAATGAAGTAGCGAAGCCAACAAGTAAGCGAGGAGGAAAGAGAGAGAGAGAGAGAGAGAGAGAGAGAGAGAGCAAGAACGAGCGTTCATCGAGAAAGGGTCAGTAAAGAACAAAGATATGCGCTGGACGCAGCGTAGCTTTGCTAGAGCTCTTTCGGGTTCATTGCCACATCTATCTACCACTCCCATCACTGTTACTGCTGCTGCTGCTGCTGCTGCTGCTGCTGCTGTTGCATCCGCAGGGAAGTGAAGCTCCGCCAACTTCCTCCGAACATTCGTTAAAACTTTTGCGGTCTCTGCGCGCACTGACGCACTAACTTTTAATGATTTTTAGATCCCCGATGATAACATTGACATTTTACTATTTTCAAATGAACGGATGAATTAAAAATTACGCACTCGTATCAAGTTCTCTCGATAAATCATTCATGTATTCTGTGCAAATACACGTTGAGTGAGTGTTAAGGTTCCGATCTGGTCGAAGTTCACGCGTAATAAAGTTACATACATCATTAGCTTATTAGTTCAACAGTTAGATTTCAATTTTCGAAATATATTTAATTGAGATCGACCTTCGATACTCGGACAAAACTACATCAGCATACTCACTTGACATTAGACCTTCTGTTGCTTCTAAACGTAACATACTATCTTGATTCCCTTATAATTTTTTAAATGATAAATTTTCTGTTGCTTCATTATAAAATAATCATTGTTTGAACAGCTCCATCATGTTTTCTTTGATTTAATAATCTCAAATAATACATACGTTATCCGGGACAGTAATTCTTATAAAGTCCAATATGCAATTACAAAATCTATTTCGCTTGGCAAGCACCTGAACAACGCTTTAAAGGCGTTTACACTCTTGTCTGCGCTTGTCTGACAGTGCATTGATAGGAAACCCGCTCATAACGTGGTCGCGGCCTGCGCGCGAAGCAGGAACATAACGGGAAAGCAATGACTCTACTCATTTTCAGCTTTACTACGCGTGCCTTTACTACGTCTGATAATTTGAAAGATAACATTTTGATTTATATTCGACGCCGTTACATTTTCGTGCTCTATCCCCCTTATTATTAATTCAACCTTCGTCTTCACCACTATCGCGTAATTTCTCTTTATTTCACGCTAAATTCGCTTTTCAATTTTCTACCTTCAGTCCGTCAAATTATCCGCTTTTAATGATCGCGTATACTTAAGAACTTAACGGAAATACAATCTTGCTTGTCTATTGGCATACGAGCATCTTAGTTGGGGAGAGCCACCGACATGTAATAAACTAAGCTAACCCTGTCGGAAGTATATCGCGTATTTTCAAGGTTGAACCATGCTATATGACATGAAATGTCATTGACCATTTATTTTCGTATGATAAACTGGTTCGAATCGAAATTTTAGAGAAAGTCTCAATGTCAACGTCACTTTACTGGCGAGGGAGGGGGTGAGTTTTTGCATAATAAAAACAATAAAAAGTAATTTTTTTATAGTAAGTATATCTTATCACACACTATTCACAATTGTAATTTTTGGATTTTTTTGAATCGTTTTATTACAAAAACGCAAAACACAAAAAATCATAAAAGTTTACTGGCATCAGCGAGTCACATCGAAGTTCCGGTTCCATAACGAACGATCTACGTATCTCTCTGCATTTGTAGCAAAAAATACAAATAAAATAAAACACAAAGTAATGGTAGGAGAAGGTCAGCGACAGCCGAGAATAAAATTGTCAAAATATTAGCGCAAAGCATTGATTTCGGCAATGCCTTTTCGAGAAGTTGCGCGGTCGACCTCGATAGCGAGAAACTTACACGATACAAGTGACCGAAGAAGAACCTAGGCACTCTCGACGGTGATGCTGTCGCCGTCGGCGATCACGGCCTGGGACGCGGGGAAGGCGGGTGCGACGGGGTGAGCCGGGAACGCTGGGGCGAAGTGAGCCGGGAAGGACGGAGCGAAGTGAGCCGGGAAGATCGGGGCGAAGACGGGCAGGCTGGTCTGCTGGAAGATCTTGGCGCCGTTGTGGAGCTGGAAGCGACTCTGGCTGGAGGTGGCCACCGGCAAGTGCTGGGTGTAGGAGGTGGTGGCGACGGCGGGCAGCGCGGTGCGCACCTCCACGGCGGTAGGGGCGGCGTGCACGAGCACAGGCTTCGGGGCGAGCTCGTCAAGGATCTTGGCGGTGGTGGGCGGCAGCGGAGCCTCGGCGGTGTAGATGCCGCGCTTCTTGCGGAAGAGCAGAGGAACGTGGTGCGCGCTGGCGATCACCGGGCTGCGCACTTCCTCGATGATCTTGGCTCCGTTGTGGATCTGGAAGCGGCTCTGGTGGGAGCTGGCCACGGGTAGGTGCTGCGTGTAGGAGGTGGTGGCGACGGCGGGCAGCGCGGTGCGCAGCTCCACGGCGGCGGGGGCGGCTGCGAGAATGGGCTCGACGAAGATGCCGCGCTTCTTCCTCTGGCTGAGAGCGTTCAGGGTCTGGCGCGATTGCTCGGTCAAGTGGGCATCGAGGGCGCTGACCCCGTCGCTGGGGATGTTGCTTCCCGCGGCACGGAAGCCGAATTCATCGGCGATGTAGTTGACCGTCTGCAGCAGGCCGTGGGCGTCGACGTAGCTGTAGGTGCCAGTGGTGGTGCCGTCCGAGGCACGGAACTCAGTCTTGGCCGAGGGGCCACCATGGTAGCTGTAGCCGTACTCGCCAGTGGCCGTGTTCTGCTCCTGGCTGAACGAGGGCAGTGGGTTCACCAGAGGCTCGTGCAGGATCTCGCCGGCAAACGCCGAGACAACGAACAGGGAGAGCAGAGCCTGCGAAAAAAGACAAGAGAACGTCGCATTCAGCTTGGAAACTCTCTTGTGTTATCAAATACTGCCGCTGCTAATTAAAAAAAGAGACAGATCTAGAACGGAGAGGCGCCGATGTTTCGTATTCTCTTGATTCTCCGCCGCAGAGAAACTTTTTCAGAAGAACAAAAGACCCGTCCAGAAGTGAGCAGGCCTTTGAGTCCGAAAAAAAGAAGAAAAAAAGGCAAACTTCAATCGGAACTTTTGCCGGCTTTTGCCGAGCTTGCGGTGGACGTGAAGCTCTCTGTCTTCCTCTCGGGGTAGAAAAAGAGAAAACAAGAAAAGAAATGGCGCGCACGATTTGTTGAATGGTAGTGCGAAGAGGTGAAAAGGAATATGTAGTTGAATATACTCACGAAAGACTTCATTGTGGGTCGAGGGAGTGCGTTGCGCGAGTAAGTGCTAACGGCTGCGTCGAGCGCGTGTGGCTAGTGCGATGTTTTGGGGGCCCTCCAATTGACTTATATAGCGGGCCCAAAGCCCGGCTCACCGGCGAGTGAGAACGAGAAAGAGAAAGAGACAGAGTCAGAGAGAGAGAGAGAGAGAGAGAGAGAAAGAGGCACGACACGGATAGCCAATAGCCGGGGCAAACCAGGAACCGCACACGTACGGGTACCATCCGTCGAAGGACAACCAAATTCCACTCACTCCACATGCTCGTCCCTTTCTTTCTGTTTGCCGCTGCTTTCCATCTCCTGGTACACGCCGCGCGCTGTATACGCAACTTTATGCTCCGTATATTATTATTATACGATCTTCGATGATATATACGTGCCGATTTTTTGCTCGCGGTCTCCTTGTACCTAACGTGCACGGCTTGAGAAAAAAAATTGCTAGTCTCTAAAATTACGCGTGACTTTGACATCAAGAGCGACGAATATCGATCGATCGTTCAGGAAATCCGTGATTTCGCCCAGTCGGCCTGCCAATGTACGCCTACAGATACGAAATTGTACTATCTCGAATAATAGATTTATTCTACGAATCCTTCAATTTTTCACGGAGATTACGTGAAACGAGCGCAATATACCTACTGTATTCTCCAGTTTTTCATCGTTCGATTTTCGTTGAGGTGCGCGCGCGTGACGAAACAGGCAACGCGTAGTGGTATAGGTATATCGAGAAAGGAAAATAGAGAGCGAGAGAGAGAGAAGATGCTTAACGAACCGCGCGCATTGTGGAGTTTTAATAAGGTTCTTCGGTGCGGATCGCGCCTTGTCTTGGAGCAGAGAGAGAGAGAGAGAGAGAGGGAGAGGAAAAAAAGACCGCGCGCGGTGTCAACGTCGTCCGCAGCGCGAGAAAATCACATCGAACTCGCGCTTGTGGACTTGCCGTTGCGTAATAGAACGCGTAGCAGGCGTTACGATATAGCGTACCTACCTGCTCGACATATTTACGTGCATTGTAATGGGATGTTTTCTCCGGTTCTTGGTCTCGTCCGCATAAGCCTGCAATATCGAAGCGCGTCTTCAGCCAACTAGACAAAGCCAACAGCCAAGTTTAAAAGCCTCGAAAATATGCCGTGAACTTGAGTTATCTTACAACCCAGACGATTATATATGGCACACATTAGTTAGTCAACAGATCAATGGCGATGTCATCATCGAATTTTCACGTGTTATTTTTTTACTTCTGAAAGGCTCACATTTCTGGTATAAAAGCTGTGAGTATTACAGAGTTGTAGTTTGATTGATACAAATGAAATCGGGCCACAAACATTAGTCAAATAAAGTGAAATTCTTTGACTACCTCCATACATAGCTATAGTGAGTGTGTTGTAGGAGTATTGAATTTTCCTAATTAATATTTTGTATAATTTACGTATTATTCATCAAGTATTCGTTTATCACTATATTTTGTATGCATTATAGATGGAGATTTTTCATATTTTCATTAAATTTCATTAAGAATGTAACGTAACTAATATTTCAATTTTTTTATGGGTTACTATCATCAATAAATAATTTTATTTTGCCATGATATTTAGAAAAAAAATATAACTTTTTATTTTTTAAATAACTTAGTTGAGCTAATCATTTACGACACGTCAAGATGTACTTCCTTAAAACGGCATTACACATTCTGGATTGCACCTTGCTAATCTTTCTACGTGGCAGACTAGATGATTATCTTAAAGAATATTTTTTTAATAATTGCCAATTCACTACGCAGTAAGAGGAAAGCTTTTGCACAATTCTCAAAATAAAATGTTTTAAATACATTTTTTTGTAATTTTCATAGATATTTTATTGTATACCTAGAAAAATCCAAAAACTATTTAGATGATGGAATATTAAACGTAGTTCTCGAACAATCACTTAATTTTGTATATAATATACGATGTACTGTGTAAAAATATTAGAAAAATAGGATTTGTTTTGAAAGCAAAAATAAAAAATCTAAAGAAATCTCGAAACAAAAATCTAAAGCTATGTGTTAGGTATAAATTAGAACTAGTCGTACAGCAAAAACTTATGAAAATTCGAATATAGTACTATAGAAAAATAAAACAATCCAGTAGAAAATACTCGAGTCAGAGTGGTAAGAGCATCGCAATAATTGATTTACGTAGGGTAGCCTTGAAGGCAGCATACGGATCATAATACGAACGACATAACAACGTCTGACCGTTGATATCCTGGATCTGATGTTCTTCTTGATAAGAGAAATGTTTGTTTTCGCCTTCGCCAAAGCACATAGATCAGTCGATACCGGTATTTTTAAGCAAGGCGGAATAGCTCGTGATAACTGTCCGTCGGCGCCATATATAGAAAACAAAAAAAACAGAGCTTGACCTCGCAAATCTCGGTCCAGCGATAAAATCCGTTAGAGCATATACATATCGTATATCGATTGGTACCGAAGCGACAATAAAGCAGTTGGTAGAGTTGGAGAAGCGGAAAAAAAAAAATAAATAAATAAAACTTAGTGGAAATGAGGTACGAGCAGCTCAGCGGCCTTGCGCGTTATATCCCTAGACGAGGCTATCGATCATTTTCCAGCCAAATATTGTCTTTGGGCTCGCTCGTACATGGGACGAAGCGCGACGACGAACGCCCGCTTTGAAACATTACGCGTACAGCCCGTTACGAAAGGATGACGTTTGCTCTTGCAATAATTGCGCGGTGCGCCAGCTATAGCTGGGGGCAAAATTAAAGAGACAGACAGAGAGAAGAAAAGTGAAAAAAGCGAGCACGAAGTTGATGGACAAAGGAGGGATTATTAAATATTCATGACGTGCCGCGAGATTTCACGGCTACGGCTAACGATGCTGCACGGGCAAACTTTTCGTAATCGAACGGTAACTGAAAGCAAAGGAGGGAGGGAGAGAGAGAGAGCGAGAGAGCCCTGGCTAGGACACTCTAAATCTAGAAGTGCGGCGTGCCTCAAGGGAAGCTTTTCTCGTTAAAATCGCGTATTGAACGCGCAGTATAGATTATTCTCCATCCTTTGATTACCGCTTTCCGCTTGTTAAAACCACACTTGCTTCTTTTTGTCGCGCGATCAATTGATCTCTTAAAATGACGATTTTATGAGCACGATTAATAGTCGTGGATGAGCTCGATGCTACGAATCAATGGACGAAACGGCTCAACAAACGATCTTCACAACGAGAGAACGATAAATTGCGGATGAACACGTGCACGTTAATGCGTAATCTTCAGTCGGTTATTCATATATAGAGCTGAGCCCGGGATTGAAGTTTGAATGATTGCACCTTTAATATCGCGCACGATCAAAGATTAGTCATAATTTATAAACATACCTACGCGCATATTCTTCGATGTTACAATGTTTCCGTAACGACCTATCAATAAGATCGTTCGGCTCAAGTTAGCCACGCGTGTGCAATGAAAGCGCGTGCATTAAAACGCATACAAACAAAAAAAAAAAAAAAAAGAAAAAGAAAAAACGAGTCTGTATCGAAAATAAGGCCGTCGGGTACGAAAAAGCGGTATAATAGCGATATAAATCAGCAAGTGCGGCAAATGAGATGACCACCTACGCGTGTGAACGGCCGTGTGCCGCGAATCATTCATCCTATTGCGAATAGAAAATTGTATAATGCGTGGTAAAAAGAGGGATAAAAGGTGGGAGAAAATTGCGAGTCTATCCGGCGCGCGGAATCGTCGGCATTAATCGAAGGCAGGTGACTTGTTGTCGATAGCCGGCGCACGGCAAGCATAAATAAAAGCTTATATGCGGGCCCGGTTATATACAACATCCTGCAACGTAGCGCCGGATTTTTGCGTTAGCCAAGGCCGTTCGATGCTCCCGCCAGCGGTATAGGTGTACGCGTGCGTTGGCGCGTCGGCTATCCTTTGTTCTCTTTTGGCGCTCGATCCGCGCGTGACGCGCATCCGCACGCGAGGAAAGATCACGTGAATCGCGAGCCAGTTTAGCTCCGGCTCTGTGCCGGGCATCGCCTTGAAAATTCCCAAGTGCAAGTGAAATTGGTGAAGGCGCAGCTACGTCACGGGCCGGCTCTGGCTCCGCCGGCGTGTTGCGCGCGTACACCGCGCTCTCGGCCAGCGTTAATCTTGCCGCGAACGCCTCGTAATTACAGCCAGCCACCGCTGCCGTGGCCTTTGAGAATGCTGGAAGGCGAACAAAAACTGCGGCAAAACGACGGAATTGCAAGAGCGGAAGGGAGGCCTTTACAGGCGCTAATTGCAGCTTGGCAGCTCGACCGATGCACCGCTGTAGCTTCGCGTGTTGCATACGCGAACAAAAGCCAGTCTTCTACCGGCTAAAGTAACACCGATGTCGAAGCGCTTCTTTTCTCTTCGATTGTTATTATTTACCGGCTGCTCGTTAGTGGGAGTAACAGCGTGCATTCGCTCGCCGCGCTAAGCACGCCACACCTTGCCATCACGCGTCAAATGGTACATTCGTTATGCGTGCTCGTAACGTAAACATTTTGCAATATTGCGCGCGCACGAAATATAAGCCGCGAGTTGCTTCACATCAATGCGACAACCAACCAATTCTCTTCCTAAAGACATTTCCATTTATTTTACAGTAGCCGATATCTCGTGGCCCGTTGTAAATAACTATGAATAAATTTTCAATAAAGTTGGCCAAACATATTTGTTCGCGCCAGATAAGCACGAGATAACACGCCTGTTTTGACTTTAAAAACGGAAATAGAAACTAGATAGGTAGGTAGGTAGGTAGGTAGGTAGGTAGGTAGGTAGAAAGAGGGAGAGAGACAGAGAGAGAGAGAGAGAGCGAGAGACAATGAATATGCAAAAGCATATTCAAATTGTATTCAAATTTACAAAGTGTCCTGTGCAGCATGCTCGTGGTGTTAGATCTTTTTATGACCTAAAGCTACCAGCGCAAAACGAAATTACATGTTTCTAAA